AACATCAAATCAGGAATTAATTTCTAAAATTGTAAATCAAACACAAGGTCAGTGCAGGTCAAAATAAACAGTGAAACACAAAAACATAATAGTTGCGGGAGAGAAAATATGGCGTAAGTTCAATAGTACAGAAAACAAAGATTAGCGAAGCATTCACAATGGAGGTAGGCTGGTAGTAATGGTGAAACGGTTAGCTAAACACTTGAGAGAAAAAGTGAGTTTTTAGGAGTGTCTTGAAAGAGACAATGTTATCAATGGAGCGCAGATTAAAAGGGAGCTCTGGGGGCCACTTCAGGCACGGTCACCACGGGTCTTAAAGCGAGTGAGGGGAACCATTAGGAGATGCTGATCCTGTGAGCGGAGGTCCCGTCTGGGGTTGTAAGGGAAACTGAGACTTTTAATGTATTCTGGGGCTTGGTYATGAAGAGCTCTGAAGATGAGGACCAGGATTTTGAACCGGATTCTGAATTGAACAGGAAGCCAGTGAAGTTCTGCTAGGATCGGGGAGATATGGGTGAATTTGGAGGTTCGGGTTAGGAGTCTTGCTGCCGAGTTTTGGACAAGCTGAAGACGATTTAACTGTTTCTGGTTAAGACAGGTGAACAAGCTGTTACAATAGTCTAAGCGGGTAGAAATGAAGACATGAATTACCATTTCCAAGTCTGAAGTGGACAGCAGGGGTCAGAGTTTTGAGATATTACGGAGCTGAAAAGAGCCAGTGGAAACCAGGTTCTTTATGTGTTTATCTAGAGACAGATCTGAGTCGTTTTACTCCCAGGTTGTGCACATTCTGCTTAGCAGTTGAACTCAAAGAGTCGAGAAGTTCTTTTTTCTTAGGGACTTAATTTTCAGGGGCCGGATCAGTGTCTCTGTCTTACTGAGGTTTAAAAGTAACAAGTTGTCAGACAGCCACTGGTTAACTTATGTGACACATTTTACAAGAGAGGTGAGCTTGTGGGTGGTGGAGTCATTAAAGGAGCAGTATAACTGCAGRTCATCTGCATAGAAATGGTAGGAGACGTCTGGGAAAATTTTGATGACCTCAGTCAGGGGGCGGATGTAGAGCAGGAATAGAATTGGGCCCAGGATGGAACCCTGTTGAACTCCGCATGTGAGTTTGTCTGAGTCAGAGAGAGACTGACCTAATAAGACTGAGAAAGAGCGGACTGAGAGGTATGATTTGAACCAGTCTAGCACCACCCTGGATTTCCCTATGTCTTTCAGATTTCGAAGGAGAATAGTGTGATCGACAGTGTTAAAGGCTGAGGAAAGGTCCAGTAAGAGGAGAACAGAGTACATGCCTCTATCAGCAGACATTAGCAGATCATTTGATACATGGAGGAGGGCAGTCTCTGTAGAGTGTGATCTGCGGAAGCCAGATTGAAAGTTGTCGAAATGATTATTTACATCCAAGTACGATTGTTGTACTGAAACAATTTTCTCCAAGACCTTTGACAAAAATGGGTAGCTTTGAAATGGGCCGGTAGTTATTCAGATCAGATGGGTTTAAAGATTGTTTTTTTAGTATGGGTTCCACAACTGCTTTTTTAAAGGATTCTGGGACACATCCTGACGTAAGTGAGAGGTTTAACAAGCCAGCAAGTGTGGGTCCTACTMCGTCAAAAACAGCTTTTAAGAATCTGGGAGGTAAGATATCAAGAGGAGAGGCAGATGGTTTAATTTTTTGGACTATGGTCCCAAGATTATTCACAGTTACTAGATCAAAAGAAGACCAGGAAGGAGTGAGACTGTTCTCAGGGGGTGGGGGGGTTGTGAAAAGGAGCATGAGACGGTTGAGTTGAGACGCTGTGCCGGATGTTCTCAATTTTAACGACAAAGTGTGTTAGGMAGTTGTTGGGACTGGCAGGTGAACAGGCGGTAGGAGAGGAAATGACCGGGGAAACCAACGTGTCAATGGTGCTGAATAAGGCTCTGGGGTTTGTCTTAAAGCGGGTGACCAACTGAGCAAAATATTGAGACCTGGCATTTTTTATCATGGTCTGCAGTGATAGTCTGAGATCTCTAAGGTGAAGCCTGTGCACTTCTAAACAGGATGACTTCCACAGTTGCTCTGCCTGCCTACATTTGTGTCTAGCAGAGCGGATGGTCTCATTCATCCATGGAGTAGGTGTTTTAACAGCAGAGGATTTAGTGGTTGTTACAGTACAGTCATTAAAAACAGTTGAACAGTGATGGTCTAATAAATCGATAAAATCATCTGGTTTGTTTATATCATCAGCCAAGGACAGATGGGTCAAAAGAGGCAGAAAAAGTGACAACAGCATCCTGCTTTAGAATCTTTTTCTGGAGCTGTTGTCTTGGGGGGAGGGGGCTCCATGACAGAATTAACATCAAAAAACACACCAAAATGGTCGCTAATTTGCAAGTCCTCCACACATACATTATTTACTTTCAAACCCAAAGAACAAACCAAATCCAACATGGGACCACGCTGATGAGTTGGGCTTGAAACATGTTGAATAAAGTTAAAACAGTCCAGAATGGAGATGAAATCACGGGTCTCACTGCAATCTGCATTATCAAAATGAAAGTTGAAGTCACCATGAGAAAAGTCCTGGAAGGCAGGTAGTGTTTGTGAATCCACCCAGAACCCATAAGTTCTGTTGGTAGGGAGCTCAAAATGTTTGTGCTACAGGTGACCCTGTTTTATCTGTGTGTGTGTGTGTGTG